ATTTGTCCAGGAGCTGCATGCAAGGTCGCTACCTGTGTGAAAGCTTTCGAGATGGTGCACTACTCTGGGCTCACGAGGACGCAATTCGAGGGATTGCCATCGTGGGAACATCGATTTATGAAGCAAAAGGGCTTAGCTCTGAGGTGGCATATTTTCCACAAATGCTGCATTAGTAACGCATTGGATGGAACAGCAGATGATGCATTCTGGGACGTTACTAGTTAAAAACAGACCTCGTCGAGCCCAAGTTCGGACGAGTCCAAGTGACAGCACTTTGTGGCCTTCCGACATTTAACTACATAAGATTAGTGCCAAAATAAAAAGAAATGTCATCACAGTGCAGCTGGTTGTGTCGCGTATTTACCAAGGTAAGAGTGTGCCACGATACTTTGCGATTTAAAAATATATATATATATTTTTTTTGGAGATTCAAGGTTTGGGGGAGTCGACCTATATTCTGGACCGACCTACATTCCGGTTTTGACGGTAGTGACCGGCCTTCCGAAAGATCGGTGGCAGCATGAAAACACGGGCCTCGTCTGGCGATGCAGAGTGCTCAGAGTAGCTGGGGGGACAAAGGACGAAAGGGTGCGTAACAAAAAGGGGTCGGCGAGGAAAACGACAACTAGAGAGATGCGAAGGCAGGGTCGGCGTTTAACAATAAGAATCTACGGGCACCCTCACATGGCTTATCGTTGATCGAAAGTGGTGTTCGGGGAAGTCGCCGGGCCCCGACTTCGCTTGCTGTAACAGATCGGCGGCACTCAGAGACATTCATTGTGCCATTGAAATAAGGCATATTTGCACAGTCACGCGAGTATCGTTCATTCTAAGCGGGGTCATTATATGTGGGCTCGACTGTATCTCCTGCTACTTAGTGTTTGGGTCTTTTAAAGGCAGTTTGACTTGATGATGCACATCAAGTTGCTAATCATTTCTGCCTTCTTTGCATAGGAGTCTGCTGCAGCTGTTAATTCCTCAACAGCAACTTCTAGTTTTTTTTTTTTTTTTGTCAGCATTTCAACCTTCTCCTGAATGCAACATTTATCTCTCTGTTTCTTATCCTCTTGCTACTGCCTTGCCCAAGTTTCCAGAAATGCCCAGTTTTAGTAGTTCCATGCAGAAGCTATTGATGTTCTCAAATCTTTTGCAATGGGCACATTACATGTGACACCTGCTACATTTACGGCATCACAAACAATAAGCTGTGAAATCTGAGGAGTCTGCTGCAGCTGTTAATTCCTCAACAGCAACTTCTAGTTTCTTTTTTGTAAGCATTTCAACCTTCTCCTGAATGCAACATTTATCTTTCTGTTTCTTATCCTCTTGCTCCTGCCTTGCCCAAGTTTCCAGAAATGCCCGGTTTTAGTAGTTCCATGCAGAAGCTATTGATGTTCTCAAATCTTTTGCAATGGGCACATTACATGTGACATCTGCTACATTTACGGCATCACAAACAATAAGCTGTGAAATCTGCGACGATGTTTACTAAAAAAAATATCAAGAATTTGCTAAAATTCCAGCACTTTCAAGGCCTTGAAAACACACTTTTGAAAAAAAAAAAACGCTTTTGAAATTCAAAGGTTTTCAAAAATTCCAAGAACCCGCATGAACCCCAACTATCATACCTGCCAACCTGGCATCAGAGAAATTCGTGAAACCCCTGAACGGGGAAGGGGGCAAGTAGGGGAGGGGTTACAATTGTTTTTTTTTGATGGTAAATTTGTAAGTGTGATCGATTTCCCTGTAGCGACAAGCATATTTATGTTTCGTCGCCTCCATAAGTCAAATCCAATTTTTTCCCCAAAAGGAAAAAAAACAAAATATCGCGAAAAAACAAGGGGAGGGGGGGTCCCAAATGCAGGCACGAACTTCGGCGTTACAGTCTCATAATGGCTTGGAGTGGACGAACACACTGAGGGTGGGGTTTCCCACTAAAGTGGAGTCTCAAAGGGGGAGCGCAAATGCTCCTGAAATTTCGCGTCATCAAAACCAAATAGCAAAAAAATCTATTCCCGTCAAAACAACTCTCGTATGTCTTTACATGTGGACGGATGGGACGGCGCAGCTGGCTGCCAGCGAAAGCGTGGGTCAAAGGTTTGGCTTTGCTCGCTACTATATTCTTAGGACATGAATGCCAAAGCGCTTCTAGCCTTTTTTTACGCCTTTAGCGCCTTTAATCCACCGCTGCATCAGCCACGTGCCCTCGAAGCTAGTAGATTGCTATCGCACTGCCGCGACGGTCGCAGCAAACGGTAGCTTTGGTTTCAACCCACGTGCCTTCAAAACTACGTTGTTTATGCTATCTATGATCACAACTGCCGCTGTTTTGTTCAACAAAGTTTGCGGAAAGCAGCGTTGCCTTGATTCATCGAGCGTTGGCCGCGCACATGCTTACGAAGTTTTGTCAGTAACGTCGTCGCCATACATGATCGTGTCGAACTACCGTGGTTTCGTCCACAGCAGTTGTGACAACAACCACAAGACAGTGCGAGCGCTGATCGCACGCATACTTCCGAAGTTCAAGCATGCTGCTCTCGATCGGCCTTTGTCCGACGGTTTCGGTGCTACACCTCGTTATTACACCTCGTTCAACCTCGTTATAACGAAGTTGAAGGGGAGCCACAATTATTTCGTTATATATATATTATTTCGTTATATCAATTATAACAGTTTGTGGCAATGTATGCTCAGATGGGCACACACCTATAAGCATGCGAAGAAGGAAACCAGCTCCCGGCCCGATGTACCGCTACGCGACCACATGTGCGACAGAAAATAAACACAGTCGAATCTCATTAATTCAAACACACTTAAGTAGAACTTCCGGTTAATTCAAACTCACACTGCAGTCCCGTCAAAGCTATGTGTATTCCAATGGGTGAAAACTCCTTGTAATTCGAACGCCCAAGCACTTGCGACGGTTAATTCGAACATACCGCACTCCGAAAATGCTCTCAGCACCATGCCCAATCCCGCGGCAGCACCTCTGAACTCTGCGTGCGAAGGAAAAAAAAAGACGGCTGATCTGCGACGCACCTGTGCCACGCATCTTTCTTTTCAGTCTCTGCACGTAGAGACCCTTCTCCCTTCAAAATCGCGCACGGAGAAAGAGGAGGAAAAAAGAAAAGAAAGCTGTGGCGGAGGATTGGCTCCCTCTATAATGCCAATTAATGCCGATCTGCTCCTCTCTGCGTAGGAGACGCTCCTCCTTTTTCGGTGCAGAGGGTAGCAGCAGAGACGCAGTCATTGTCGTCGTCTCTAGAGCGTGTTGGCGCAGGACTTAGCCACAAGCTACTATGCTTTATAAACTGCGTGCGAAGTATATTGAGTCGCTGCATGGCAAACATGTGCAGACACGCATCACCAATTACTTCAATTAATGACACGTCCTCTGATCTGTGAATGAATGTAAGTCTTCTGAAGCTTCCCCATCATGTGTTCTTAATGTTGCTTTGCACCGCGACACCGCTTCTCAGTCATGTGACCTGCTGAGCGCTTCCTTATCCTCTCCGGTGGCTGTGTGAGGACGGCTCTCTCAGCCGCGCATGGCGTGGCTGGAAGATTGACGCGGGAGTTTTGAAAGAGTCGCACCGAACAAGCGTCAAACTCAGCAGGAAACGATATAACACACAACTAGTCTTTTTTTTTTTTGATAGACTATTTCATAGACTAATATAGTTCGTTATATCATTTACCAGTCAGTTTTACTTCGTTACAACAAGGTTTAATATGCATGGTTCTCAATGAAGCTTTCAAGGGGAATTTCATTTACTTCGTTATATCCGTGTTTCATTATATCCAGTTTCGTTAAAATGAGGTCTGAATGTATTGGCCCAATTGACACATGAATTTGGCTAGGAGAATTCCATGAATTCGTATCTGCCGCAGTTTCGCATCACGGAGACTCTACGTTTAGATGAACGCCTCTCAAATTTGTTTAAAACAAAATGCGGCCGAGCTCTCAAAAAGCCTTAAATAAAGTGACCTGCACTTCTGTCAATGCGGCCACATATCGCACGCAAATTTAGGTTTCCGGGAGATTTTTATGGCAACCGCACGAACGGAAGCAACCGTCGAAATCCGAGAGTCTTTCGGAACAATGCGGGAGACTTGGCAGGTATGTGATAACATCAATAGTACATACTATTGTAATATAGCACAACTCCGTTTTTGTGGCCTCCGCGACTAGCTATGCGAGAATGCACCATAGCCATTGCGGAGGCCCACGCTAATTTATTAATTTTACTTTTCTTCATCAGAAATATTTTTCGTAAAAGGTTCAGGGAAGATTCATGAAATCGTAAGTGCGGTCGAAATTCGTACATATTACAGGAAAATTAGAAGAATTGGCAGGTACGCCAACTACTGACCGCAATCGTTTGCAAAACGAACCCCTGAAAGTTGAAGTGAGCATTCTGAACTGTTTTGATGACACTCTCAGCTATGTGGCCGATGTAATAATTACACATCCTTCACCTCAGTGGTCATTGTGTGGTGTGCACAACGTGCAGGTTGATGAGCTGAAGGGGTAATCAAATGTGAGAAAATTAATTTCCGACACGAGTGATTGATTGATATGTGGGGTTTAACGTCCCAAAACCACCATATTATTATGAGAGACACCGTAGTGGAGGGCTCCGAAAATTTCGACCACCTGGGGTTCTTTAATGTGCACCCAAATCGGAGCCCACGGGCCTACAACACTTCCGCCTCCATCGGAAATGCAGCCGCAACAGCCAGGATTCAATCCTGCGACCTGCAGGTCAGCAGCCGAGTACCTTAGCCACTAAACCACCGTGGCGAGGCTCCGACCTGAGTATCTAAAGTGGTGGTTACAAGTGTTGGAGTGCCATTGCTACAATACTGCATGAAGTTTCCACAATTACCCATGACCCTCTTAGGGTAGCCTAAGAGAGCTTTGCCGTAATAAGTCTCTCTATATTTCTGCCTCACACCTTGATTGAGAAAAAATCATTGCTACACTAAGTGAAACCTACTTGATGGCATTCAGCTTCGCTAAGCACTCGTCCGCCGACGACTTGACCTGCTCGCAGTGGTGCTCAGAGGTGCGGAGGTGCGATCGAAGTTCTTCCTTCCTTGTCTCCAGATCCCGGATCTGGGCCTCGCGCTGTGCCCTTTCTTCGGCCTGCTTGCCGGTGTCCAATGTGCACAGCTCCTTTATCCGGCTCTTCAAGGCCTCGGCTTCCTTGCGCTTCCCTGCAAGCTCCCGATCAACCCGCGCAATCGCCTGCTCCTTCTCGCGCATTTGCTCCTTCTTGATGGTGTACTCCTTGCGGCCAGACATCATGGCCGGCTGCATCGCCTGGACGCGCTCGAGAGCCTCGTTCAGCTTGGCCTGAAGATCCTGCTGCAGCTTGGTGTGTGCTTCGATCTTTTGCTGCAGTGGCCGTGCAGAAAAAAAAAAAAGGTCTCACTACAACCAAGCGAACCCGACAGATAATTAGGCAAGCATGGGGCGCATTAATTGTAGTCTTTAGCTGCAGCGACATAATAATGACATGAATTGAAAATCTCAAGTGGGTGAAAAGTCGCCCTTTCCATCAGTGGGTTGTCCTTTTCGGTACACTTCAAGTGGTTACTGCACGAAGCTCATGCACCTATCACAATCGAGCTGCGCTGTCTTGTGTTGCATGCTACTGTCATGTAGTTCGCACAAAACACTATATCAAAGCGAGCAAGCTTCTTTTGTAGCAGCTGAACTCCCACAAGAAATTGTTCGATGCTTTTACCGGCAAATACACATTGGGTTTTGTTCAGGCCAAGTAATAAGAAAAGACGATCATTAAGAAGGAACTGGGCTGTTCTGTCTGCAGTTTTTGAACAATCTTCTGTTCATAGTCACTGTTTTTGGCCCTTCACTTGCGTGAAAGCTAATACTGGGGGTCGGGCGAACAATTGGAACTATGGCAACAAATTGTAATAATAACATCTGGGATTTTACGTCCCGAAACAACGATATGGTTATGAGACACACTGCAGTGTAGGCCTCCAAAAATTTGGACTATCTGGTGTTAATGCGCACTGACAACGCACAGTACATTGGCCACAACGGTCTCATCTCCATCTACATGCGACAACCACAACCGGGATCGAACTCGCGAACTTCGGCTCAGCAGCCGAGCACCCTGGTCATCGTTCCACCGGGGCGGTTGCGAAAACAAAATGGGAGGCATGCACTTCGGTCAGCGAACTTCTAGCTTAGCTTTCACAGAAATACATGCTATTACAAACAGAGCATGGACCAGGTATACTCTGTATGTACTGACGCTCACAGCTAATAGAAACTCCCCGTAAGGTCATTTCATTCCTAAATTGTTTCTGCGTTGGTCCACACTCACATCAACTTCGGCAATTTTCTCCTCCAGCTTCGAGAGTGCCCTGTCTTCCTTCTGGTAAGCGGCTTCAGTCTGCAGCATCACCTGTAGGTGTAGTAAAGTGTGAGCAGCAAGCATGCATCAAACACTTTTAGTGCCACGTGCATTTCATCCACTGTTAAAGGGAACACTACAGCGAGCATCATTTATATTGCCGGCCCTCTAGTAGCAAGTGGATAAGAAAACAATGTTGATGCTCGGCGCTAGTCTGTTAAAAGGAGCCAGAACGGCCAATAACCAGAAGTCTCGTGTAAATCTAATACCCGTGCCACACGGGCATAGAAAATGACATTTGGTGGCGAAGGCCTTCAGTTCCCGAATGACATTTGTTTTGCCGGCGCTGCTACACATCCAAAGCGAATGACATTTGACTTGATGATGTCGATCACAGCACCTTCCAGGTGAGAATTGAGTGAATAGCAATAAAAAAATTAAGAAGCATTTACAAGCTTCATACACATCAGATAATCATCAAATGTAGATATAAGCGTATTACGCTGTCCTAAGTTTTAGTTTCTTGCTTTGTTTTACAACGTTGCAGCCGACCGTAGCAACCTAAGCCAACACTAGTCAGATCCACAGCGTAAATAGAAAATGGCGCCTGTCGCATCGCACCTGTCGCATCTCTCAAAAGAAGATGTTCGCAGAGTTCGTTTTTTCACGGCAGCACTTGTGTGTTTCCGTGCAAAGCATCGTGCTCAAGAGCGAATAATTTTGGCGGAAGATGGATTGGTTGGCGGAAGATTGGAAAGCAAAGAATGAAAACTGATGAAAAAAGCAGAGAAAGTCACGGAGAAAGTGAACTCGATGGCGATGGCGATAAAAATACCAGTGTTGCATGCTTGTTTGGCAAAGTTTCGCTAAAGTTGACAAGCGTTTCATTATCAATACTTTATTTTCTTCGTATAACGTTCAAAGCATCTTTTTAAGACTTTAGTGCAAATAAAAGACGGGAAATTTCATTTTTAGCTCAATATGATTTGTTTTATATACTTTCAGGTAAATCGCACTTCGCGAGCTGTGTCGTCGAGAGTAGGCATTTTTCAGTCAACTGAGTTCTGGCGAAGGCAGTTGGTGGCGAATGGCATTCGAATGGCATTCGGATGAATGCCATTTTGTTCGCCCGTGTGGCACCGCGCGAATGGCAATAAATCTGAAGGCATTCGGGGGTAAATGCCATTTTTTCTGCCCGTGTGGCACGGGTATAAGCCACCATGCCACTATGCTTCTGAAAGAGAGTGAAATACAAAAAACATGCTGCGCACGCAAGTGTTCTCTTTAATTGTGGGCCTGACAGTACCTTCCATATCGCGTCCGTAATGCGAGTGTACAGACACCGTAACCATCACGTCCGTATTCATTCAACCATGCATGACATAACTGTACACCCTCCATGTTCTTGAAGGCAAACGGCCGGCATTGCCTTTATGCAATAAACATGCACATCAGTGATACCAGCATCGATTTTGCTTCTGCTCAGTTTTGCTTGCATTGATAAAGCACAATGATAAAATCCGACTAAAATAGACTCTCAGTAAAGAGAAATCTCTTGAATGAAACAAGTGCTTCTAATGTGATTATTGATTTCATACGGATTTTGCACACCTGTTTTTCTGTGAACAGAAGTCCTCCTAAACATAACAGATATTTCTTTTCCCTTGAGGTTCACGAGTCTATCGCATGGACGTTTTAGTAAGTGCAACAATAAGAATGCCACGACTGCATAAAAAAAGTGATAGTGTTATAGTAAAAAGGCAATCAAATGAAAAAGTACCGAGTTTCAGTTAGAAGCCAGCAGAAAAATGTCAATGGTAGTGTGCCGCAGTATTTTTTTCTACAAAGCTGTCTGGTTCTAGTAAAGTCAGATGTGAACTGAACAATGTAACTTTGCGTTGTATTACAATACGAATTCCACCACGAGACATCTCTCTTGATAAGCAGAGAAGAGTGCAAACCAGCTTACGTCTTCTTTTTCCTTGACCCTAGCCCAAAGCACCTCGGCTTTCAGCCGCTGCAGCTTCACCCTTTGGTCCTCCAAGTTCTCAAACGCTCGCCAAAGCTTTTCAAGCCGCTTCACAGTCCCGTTCCAGCTCTGGTAGCAGCTGCATCACAGGAAAAGTAAAAATTGAAAAAAAAAAAAAAACAAGCACGCAATCAAGCCAAGAAAGCCACAAATTTTATTTGTTTTTATCAAATTACAGGCCCAAAATGAGAATAAGCAGAGCAGGCTTCAAAAAAAAAATTTCTACAGCATTGCTGCTGGGCAGGTAAAACAAGGAATGAATAATATATACAACGAATTTCTGACCGTGAGCCTGTTCCGTGAATGTGTACCTCACTCCAATAAGGAAAAAGTTCTTAAAGATATACAGGAGACTCTCAGTAAACGAAACCTGAAGGGACCAGGAATATATGTTCCATTTAACAGGAGTTCTGTTTACTGAGAGGTGAAAATGAATGCGGAATACAAGCCCAAAACCAAGCATGGCAGAGGCAATAGTTCGGTTTAAGCAGTAAATCCGTTTAACAGATTTCTGTTTACTGAGAGCCTACTGTATACACTCAAATTTCGATATAATGAAACCGGATATGACGAAGTAAATGAAAAATAGTCTCGCAATAGACATGATTTTGGGAACATACCGCTATAACAAATTTTTGGATATAACAAACTTATTTTCGCAAAAGATGCAATTTGTTATGATGAGGTTTGAGTGTAGTTCTGGCACAGTGCTTTGTTAATGTGTGAAGTATGGCATATCACATTTTTCTATGGTTGTTAGTAATGAGACGTGCTCATCAGGACTAATAACAAGCTCCTTAGTTGGGAGCTAGAAACGAAATTGAATTTGCAGAGATTTCTTGTACAAGTCGATTGACTAACAGCATTAGCTTTCATTAGTTGTAGAGTTGCAAGCGAGAAATATAAAATTGAATATGCAAGGAAGGTGCTTTCCATCAACGTGGGAATATAAAATTTCTGTGAAGACACATCCTCAGCCCCAAAGTATTCTGTTTTTTGGCAGCAACTATGAGTTAATTCTGGTAACCAGTGTTCTAAAGTAGTGAAGCATGCTATTTATCCTGAGACAGTACACATTTTCAAAGAAGCAAGGCACAAAAGAATGCAGCACATGCACACATGAAAAAATGCAAACAGAAGCGCTGTATTTGCATCGATACATGCACACATGAAAAGGTGCAAACACAAGTGCTGTGTTTGTGCCCAGCAAACACAGTGCTTGAGTGTGTGTCTTTTCATGTGTGCAGGTTTCGTGCCCTTTCGTGTGCTGCTTGTTCGAAAATCATAGCTCATGAATAGTACATACTAAACAGTAAACATGTTAGCATAACCTCTTTTACTGAAAATGGCTTTTAGAAAGTATTTGAACTATATTCAACTGATTCTAGCATCAACCTAAACTTATTTGCAGGTACCTTTTGCATAAACTTCTAAAAGACAATGAACTCAAGGTTACTCCTAAAGTATTGTCAAAATGAATACTGTTCCGCTAGCCTGCATACTCAAGCTTCTTGTTAACTGAGAACTGAAGGCCCATAGGTCAAACCCCAAGCATGTTCCACAGCTTTTGAATGTAATCTACAAAGTCCTAGGAGTCCTGATAAGCCAATGAATCTCTTTGTGCAACATATAAATGCCAAGAACTTAAAAAGGTACAGACACAAATATTTTGGCCTCATGTTTTTTTTTTTGCTTCAATGCAGTGAGGGAAGCAACATTTTGCTTTTTGAAGGAGATTCTGGAGCAGAAAAAATGGTGCTTTGGAGCAGCCTTATGTGTTTTCGGAGCAGAAAAATATGCTATAGTAGCTTGTTCTCAACGACTCCTAAAGTCTAAAACATCACTTAAGCATCTAATAAATATTTATATTTATTATCAAACATGACGTGTGCTAGTATGCAGCTAGTATAGAAGCAGTATAGTTGGCGTAAATCATGGGCGCGGGGGTCAAGAGATTCCGTACTTTGCTGGTGTTCAGGCTGGGGTGGACACCTCTTGCAAGTGTCCCACTTGAGATTTAACTTTAGCTTTAGTGATATAGGTTTAACTTTAGTGATATAACTAAGTTAACAGTTAAGTATTGCACTACAACTTTTTAAAGGCATTGCGTACTTTTGTTAAATGCCCCTCAGCTGGGTGAACTATAAAATTCAAAATAAGGGGAAAAAAAAAAACTGAATAGAACAATGCGATTGCTCGAGCTCGGACCCAATGCTCGTTTTGTTTGTTTGTTTTTTCAATTTTATTTGAAAGCATGATTTATTACCTATAGACAGATTCGCCAAAGCCTGCCAGTCTCTAGCAACATTGTGCATTCACCGGAAAACCACCCCTAGAAACTTCCGGTTTCACTTGTTTTTGCGTGGTTTTAGCGTTGCTGGCCCCGGCTGCTTGTGTTCCGATGTTTTATGCGAATAAAATTATTCCGATGAAGCGCTGGCAATTCGAGCACAGCTGTGTCAAGCCAGAAGGCAGTCTACATGCCTAAATTAATTTTATATGCTTGTCAAAACGTTCCATTTTCCTACCGATGACGATAGAAAGAGCGCCTGCATTGTAGCGATCACGCGAGAAAACTGGATTCCCACTAAGAGCGCGTAGGTTTGTTCAGCACTTCATCAAAGGCAATGTAAAGCTCAGCGTAGACTGATGGCACAGAGGCGATACTTAGACGTTAGACTAGTCGAAGGCGCCCGTTTTTCGGGAACACATCATGCAGTCACTGTTGTGTTCTACCTGTAGCACTTATGTCATGTACTGATGCATGAAATGGGCAGCAAAACGTGTAAGCTAACACCAAAATCCACCGAAAAGATGTTTCTTTTATAGTTTGAGCAATATCTGTTATGTGCACTGTTCGAAACAACACGGGACGCAAAGTACCCGCGCTTAACATGAATCGTCGCACAGTGTACGTCGTGGTGTGCACATTTCGTTGTCATTGCATTTGTTTTTTTTTTAAGCGACGCCGGCGATTGGGCTCTCATTTGTGCGAGCAAATGACTCATCGCCTGTCTTTCTGCCGCAAATGAACATCGCCGCATTCTCGCTAATGTATATTTTGAGTGTGAACATGGACTGTAAATTTAGGTAGGTTCAACTTGAAAGTTTGATTCATGAATAGCTTACTCGTGAGTGAACCTTAATAGTTCGCGTGACCCTGCAGCCGCAGTTGACGTCATCACGTCAGTACATCTTATATTGCGAGTGATTCCAATTGCCGCTGATCTTTTTAAAGGGTGCCCGGTGTGACACAGGTGCAGAAATAAGAGTTTTATCCTGAGGTTGTATGCTTAGACAAAAACTCAAATATATGTTCGGGTTCAACAAGAGGAAGTTATCCAGTTCTAGTTGAGAAGCTGAATTGAATAACTTCACAACGAATCGAGTGACTCTTCTGCATGTTGACGATGTGCGTGCGCTTTGAAGACGCAAACAGGGAAAGGACAGGCGTGCGCTGTGAATTCCCGGTCCACGTCTTCAAAACGCATCCACATTGTTGCCATGCAGAACGAACTGGCCCAATAAGTTCGCCGACAAACTTCTCCTCCAGTTTATGCTTTTTCTGTTTGTATAGGCGCGACCACTATCAGAGGCAACACGAAGAAGGGGGGAGCGCTCATCAGAACGCCACGACGGATATTTTTCGCGGCGCCCATCAGCCATACGAGCAGTGAGCCCCTTCATGTAGCCGCTAGACGTTGCTGCAAACACATCCTAAAGAATGAACCAGAAATAACAAAGCAGCAAACTGAAACACACCACGAAAAGACTGCCGGAGCCATTGAAAAAGCATTGCCGGAAGTGCCGCACCGGAAGTCTGCAGGGGTAGCCCGATCGGCGTGAGCCAGTTTGTTTACAAACACCGAAACCGTCTATATAAATAAATATACAGCCCATATTAAAAATATGAATGGGACACCATGACCCGATATGTGTCACCTCTTGAGATTTTTCTAGATTTACGCCAGTGAGTAGCATACCAGGATGACAGTGTATACAGCTTGCTTTTGGTTTCGCCTGTGCTCACGGGATGGTCCTATGGTTCAATGTCATTTCTTTTTTTTTTAGCTTGCCAACACCCTTCTGAAGCTGGTTTGGAGCAGTTACTAGCAAATACTGCACTTTGGAGCAATTCGAGCAGCACTTACATCACTGGTAACGTGTTCCTGAGGGCCTGGTAATCATAAAACGACACACTGTTTTCGTCAGCTTGTGACATAATTATTTACAGGCTCATTATTACTGACCAGTGTCAATTTCAGTTTAAAAAAACGACAAGCCATCGGGTCCAACTATAACCATCGAACGGGTGAAACGCTCAACCACATCAGCACACAGAACTGCGACACATTTCCGCGCGGCTTGCATCAGAAAGCTTTTTGATGCAGGAAACACAGCAATCTCGTAAAACACGAAACTTTCAACTCGTGCAATGCGCCCACAGACTCGCAAGGAGCTGCCGAGTAAATAGTCTGCTGGAACAAACGAGATGAAGAAAAATGACGTCGTCATAACTTGCTGCTGCGTGGTCATGTCAGGGAAGTAGGGGGTGCCCAAGCGTCGCATTTGAAAGTGTCTATAACGCAATGAAATCGATCGCTCATGAAAACATCAGAATTTATTTAAAGTACCTTGAAGCTACGTTCGCTGTTGATATTTGGCAGATGATATACGAGTTTTCACTGGAATCGATCCCATAGGCTATCTTGGCTGCGCGATTTCATGTCAGTCTCCCTTTAGCCAACTGGATCCAGTTAAACAACAAAACAACCCTGATTCGCACCTTTTCTTTCAGAGTGAGCTCTCGGTCCGTCGCCGCCCTTTCTTCATCAATCTTGCTGTACGTGGCCTGGAGCTTTTCAAGCTGTGTGGCCTTCATGAAGAACTGAAACACACACATCGCACCAACAAGTGAGCAAATGCACAGATGGCCAGAGAATGGAAAGCAACGAATAGGGTGGCAGAATAAAATTCAGCGTAGTGACTTGCACGACCTCTGGGCAATACTGCGTACTGCACTCATCCAATTTTAGAATGCCCTTGAATATAATAGGAGAGGTAAAAAGAAACTTAAGTATGCCTTAATTTATGCAGCTGATTCGTTAAACGAAAATGCAGCTTATTACCGGGCTTGCACCAACAAAAAACTAGATGTACAGAATTTTTCAGAGTAGAAGTTGTTTTCAATTGAGGTTTCATAACGATATACACATTATTAGTAGACTTGTGCAATAATCGAGCACTTGAAATATTTTAACGAACATCAACGTATTTCAATTCGCTTCGATTCAAATTTAAACTATAGGAAAATTCAAAGTATTTGAAATGAACGTTAGTCTGCATGTAAGCTCCCATAAAGGTGGTTTCATGGCAGTGAAGAAGTTCTATATCGCGGACACACTTTTACAAGAGAAGTTCACACTGCTGCGAAGTCAAGCGAAACGTGCAGTCAAGAGAAATTGCATAGGCGTCTTAACATTTCATGCTCTCTAAAATGTAGCTGCCGTGATCAGGAATCGTAAATATGCGAGATAAGACGAAGATTTCTCACATTGAACTTGTCTCGTGCACTCTTGCTCTGTAGGAAATTCCGGCTTGTTTCCTGGTTCAAGATCATCACAGGATTGTCAATCTGTTGGTGAGAATGAACAAGTTGTTAACGTAAGGCACGAGCGTCCCGTGAACTAGATGAACGACAACATAACCCTTTACATTTTTCCAATGTACTAGCATGCTGTGCCCTAACAAAATAATTTAGTTATGTGCTGTGAAAATGACACCCATAGTTTATGCAGAATGTTAGCTTGAAATCAACAATATTAGTAGGAAAAGGCCAAACAGAGCATCACTACGCAAACCACTTCTCTTGAAAGACAACAGCAATGGCATTATACTTAATCTAAATTGGTTATACCATATTTACTCACATAATACGCGGTTTTTTTTCCCCACTATTTCGGAGCTCCTGAAAACAATGTGCACAAACTACGAGGGGGGGGGGGGGGGATTCGCAAACGCATCTGCAATAATGCATATAGTCGTAATGCGCGTGGTATATACACTTAAAAAAGAAAACAAATTGGAGCACTAACGAAATGAGCCGTCGGGAACTAAAGATTGCAGGATGCAACGAAAGATTGCGTTGCAGTAATCTGCTGTGACGCGGCAGGTGTTGAGGCTATTTGTCCCGGCGCTATCGAACCGTGCGTTTAGACAATGCACCACTGCCAGATATGATCGCAGAGGCCGCAGCCGATACCCGCAACACAAAGGCACATGACCGTAGGTGACGCAGCTATTCAGTTTTTCGTCCAGTGACTCTATAGGATTTTGTCACTCATGCAACGCGCTGCAGATCCCGCAAACTTGAAAAGAACTTCCTGCAGATCCCGCAAACTTTCACCCCCAGCAGTAGTTCTTTAATTGGCATAATTAGCACACACTTTAACGAGCCAGATTCGATCATGTGGGGTCTAGGCAGAACTAGTGGCCGAGAGGTTCGATTGGGTATTGTCGTTGTGCCCGCTGTTAACGGTCTCCAAAAGCATCACCCTCATTTCATCAATCAAGTTTGAATGCCCCATTTTCTTCAAGCTCTTCTCAACGATGCTAGGAGAACCCGGTGATACTGGAGCACCTAAGCTTTTAAGCGTAATAAAAGGTCTTTAACGGCACGAAACTTGTACTAGGCAGTGGGCATTTTTCTGCTTTCTCCGGTATCGAAAGTCACATGTTGAAGAACACACCGAAGTGCTCAGCGATGATACAGTTCCCGTTTTCTGCAAGCATAAATTTAGCAAGTGCTCAGCGATGATACAGTTCTGGTTTTCTGCAAGCATAAATTTAGCTGCATGTATAATTATACAAACACATCGTAAGGGAACAGTGAAAACATGACAGACGGATGGCGAAACCTAAACTTCCGAAATCAAACAAGTGTGCGTTGCATAGTGGACCGGCACAGATGCAGAGAACAAGCAAAACAGCGTGCTAGGCCTTTGCCCGCCTCCAATGCTGAAAATAGTCTGTGCCGTGTCGCAAGCGCACATGTTCACAGAGGAAGAGACGGAGAATTAAATGTCAGCCAACATTCGAGCAGTTTCAACGACCCATCAACAAGTTTGGGTGTTCGGGTACTGTATTCCAGGGACCCAAGTTCGGGGTAAGCCCTCAAAAGAATAGACTTCACACTCGCTGCACATTTTACGTACGACTGTGCTCGCCTGCTCAACGAGGGGCATGCCTATCCGAAGGTCTGAGGCAGTCCAAAGATTTTTCGTGCACATTGGCAAGCTGGCTCGCGCAGGACTGAGAGAGGAAAATACCATGCGAATAAACATTTTTTTCCTTTAGTAAAGCTGGCGAAATGTTAGGTGTGCACAAATGACACGATGGTGCAAATTATGCGAGAAAATACGGTGCATGGTATAATGTGGCGAACCAGGGCTGCAGAACTCAGCAGTGTGGAGAAAGGTGCATATGAAATGGAAAATTGGCGTCCACCATTTCCTAAAACAGGACTACGAAAAAATCGATGCTTCAACATTTGCATCACTGGCTTTACTCATGACTAAAAAAGCACGCAGGTTCTGCTACCAATGGGGATTGCATCGTCACTGCACAAACAGCAGCAAAAGAGAGAATACTGCCCTCCCACTTATGTAAGAAAATGTGTGATGATTTCAACAGCCTCGCTGAAGCTACGTTGTATTGCAAGTGTTCAGCCTTGCAGCACAAAAGTCTGTCCAATACAGAGTTCAATCCCCAACATTTTTGACTGCTCTGGTTGTAAGTTTTGCAGCCATGTGGTAATATTTATTCGGTGTACAATGCACACAATGTCCTCACCCAACCACAACAAGGGCCTCTACCAATGATCAACGACTTACTCTGTGCTTTGTGACCCAACTCAGTCTCATCCCAGCCAATTTCACAATTTCATCGCTCTAGCTCACCCTTCGTCATACTCGGCCACACTTATCTCTTGGTATACATTCCCCCACTCTCAACGAGCATTAGTTATCAGTCTTTAGGGCCTGACCCGCCAAGATTCCCTTTTATCTCTCTCAATACCGATTATAATAGCAGCTACCGCTGCTGGTTACAGTCCTCCTATCACTGTGAGTTATGCCTATCATTTTTCATTGCACTGCACGCTGCATCTCAGCCTATTCCCGAGTTTCTGTGTTACTTTCCAAGTTTCTGCCTCATGCTAAATTTGGCACAATGAAATGGAGTCACTAAAGCAGAATGCCTTCTGCTTTAGTGACTATAACAAGTTGCCAGACATGAATTAAAAATATCTAAAAAGAAGGCACTTCCATTGATTTTCCCATAAGTACACTAGAGGGACATGTGGCACTAGTATCTATAGTAGCTGCAATGCATGGAATTTCACCCAGCATGGTAACGATGGGTAGTACACAAATTTGTATAATCTTCATTCTTTCGGCTCCGTTTGGCTTCACATGGCCTGGAGCCACTTTGTCACGAGACGACAATCAGTAAATGTAAAGCAATTGCACGTCGCCGCCATAGCATTTTAGCGTCACCAATTCAAATCGGGTCAAAGTTCACAACAATTGTTCTGTTATTCGAAACAACACCGAAAACACAAGAATGAATGAAGCCACAAGTACGTTCAAAGCCACAAGCATGAAGACTAGGCAAATTGTGTACTACCCATCATTCGCACGGTGGCTGAAGCGACTGGAATGCCAGAATCCCCTCTAACAAACTTTAGAAAACTCCACTGGGTACTTAGACCAATGTTATTACCTGAATGTTGAAGTGGTCCATAATGCGAGTCAGTTCCTCTTTCTTGGTCGAATCACAGCACCGTTGCAGGACTTGATCTTGTACTGGGACGAGCCGTCAACTGTTAATCTCCTGGTAATCAATATGGAGTCTCCATATTCGTCGTGCTTGAAGGCCTCATTACCTTTGTTCTGAAGTCTGATAGTCACCTCTGCCGCGCTGTAAAATGAAAGAAAAAAAAAAACTTTGCTTCAACTTAAGGGTTTTCAAACACCGAAACAAACAAACGAAAAAACCGAGCCCTTGAATTCCCCTCCTACGTAGTGAAGGTGTCGTTTCAGGGGACTTGATGACTTCAGGTATAATGAAGCGTTTGACAAAGTTTCCTCTAGAGCGTATGGCTTTCAGGGAGTTATCTATAAGATACCATGCGGGGATTGTGACGTTTAGTATATTGGCGAGAGTGCGAATCTCAAACCGCGTTTGAAGCAACACAAAATCGACGTCGCCAAGGGCCACACAACTGTGAACAGTTTGGCGGAACACGACAAACTGGCCACAGTACTGACTTGGTCGCAGCAGCTATCATTGCAACAAAAAGACATTTATTTGCACGTCTCCTTTTAGAATCATTCACATTCAGCCGACTAGCCACATGATAAGCACAATAAAGGGCAATCTACGCGAGATATACACCCACACTCTGCGCCACCTGACCCATAAATACCTAGCCGCATGCCCATGCTCACATCTTCAATGTGATCAAGGGACCTGTACGGTGCACAAAACGTCGATGCTTGTGTTAAACGTACACCTTGGCAAGTGTACATTTATTGTAGAAATGACTTCAGGCAGAAAAGATTTACAGGTGAGCTGCCAGCTTGCAAGAACATCATGTGCTACACGATGACAGCTGGCAAAAAAACAGAACAGATTTGTCCCAAAACGTCTGTCGTTGCGAAATGATGAGGGAGGAGGGCATAATCGAGGTTCCATTTTATACAAGTATAAGAAATAGTAGCGCCCTATTTGGCATCAGTGCGACAGTTTAGTGACTCAACAATAGCTATAAGGAATTAATAGTTAGAAGGGCTCTCGCTAGTGTATGCACCATTGAATCCAAATATAAGGGTGTAGTGCAGCGCCAGTGGTGGCCAGCCGGCCAGAGAGAAAGATGAGAGCTCGTGGCTTGTGGCAGCTGGAAACGCTTGGGTGCTTTTGGCTGGTTGGAAGCCACAACCGCTGCTTTGCTTCGGCGCCTCGCTTTGTTTCTCAGCTGCACGCCCTCGTCTTCTCATTACAGTAGCAACGACAGCATGGCCTCGTCAGCTACCGTCACGTTTCCCTGCCCTACAGTGGTATGAAAGGACTGCCACTGCTGTAGCTAAGCTGCTAGCGCCTCGGGTGCGACAAACCTTGTCGTACAATTCTGAAATAAGCAGCCAATATGATATCATTACTTAAATAATCTCTCCCAATAATGCAAACTTTTGACAACAGCGTTAGAGAAATCGGGCCAGCTGTTTTCCCGCAAGTGAAGCTCCCACCCACAGCTATGCCATTCTAAAAAAAAAAGAAAAGAAAAAAAAGGACGCACCGTTTGCCGGTTTCCACCAGGCTCTTGACACTGGTTCCACGCGAAGCAGTATTGGCCTTTCCACCAAGGCCAACAATCAGAGATGTGAGGATAGCACTCTTCCCACCTGAGAAAAAATTTTAAAAAATGAGATGAAAAAAGGACATGCAATTACGGCTACAGTCGATGGTCGGGCAAGTTGGAAAGACATACAGGATTGTTAAAGTGCGCAAGAGACAAAATAACAGTGCAAGTAAGTCACACAAATGGACACAGTTGTCTACATCCCTGTCGCAGTAGTCATCACTGTCCTATTATGAAACACCAGCATATGCGAGCCAATATCAAGAACTGGCAAAATTCTAGCCCAAAATACAGGCTTACTGTCAAAATGAAGTAGCAGGGACATAGGTAGGTTTTCAAAGGCTTTCTAGTTTAACACAACCTGAAAGGTCGAACAAAGTACATTTCATTTGTATAGGAGAATGAACGGAGTGCAGAGTTCAAGTAAGAAACCAATCACACTAGTAGGCAGTTGTTTCATTCAAGCAGCCATTCAGCTTAAGAAATTACTGTTAACCGAGTTTTACTGTGGTTGCACTCCCCGATAGCAGATAGCATTGTAGAGCAGCTCTGCACCCCTGCAAGTACAGAGTGAGCAGCCTTTCACTATTTGAAGTCTAAGCTGACTGGTGGTGGCAAAAAGAATAGTAGAAAAATGTTTGCAAATAGAAAAATCACATGCACCTGCTGCAACAGAAGTCCAGAAACTACTCGACACATTGTAACAAAGTGCCACAATATTGTCACAAGATCTGCTCGAATGGTGTTTACCCTCAGAGACTTTAGAGGCTCTGGAATTCGAAGCAGATGGAGGTATTACTGGCTTGTGGTTGATATGGGCAAGAGACATTCAGAGCATTAATAAAAAAGATAGATTATTGAAGCAGGCTCATTACCGGCATAAAGCAGGGTTTTCCCCCTGGTGGGCAGCTGTGGAAATGCCACCCGCCACTCCACCACCAGGGGTGCAACAGCCGAAATAGATTTTGGAGCAATTTTCGGAACAGCAAAATGTTACTTTTGGAGCACTAAAATCCAAATTTGGAGCAGGTTACAGAGCTAAAAGTTCTGTAACCTGCAGAGTTCTTGTTTTATCTCGAAAGACTAAATTTAAACCAGTATGAAAAAGAAGGCTGTCATTTAAAAACTTTTAAAAATATGTACAGACCATTAAACAAACCCTAAATCGTGCAGAGTGAATATAAGCACTGCTACTTCAATAAAAGTTCTACTTTGAACCACCTCATTCAGCAAACAATGATACAGTTCACATTAGCATTTCGCCACACCTGTGAACTCCTTTGATTGACTCCGAGGATTGAAATGTGGATACAGCAAGATTTCGCAGTGCCAGCGACCCGCAATGCTAAACTCCGCGACAGCGAGGAGCTTTTGTTTCTGTAAAGCAGCGCGCTTGAACACAGTATTCCGCAAAACGAAACAGCAGCGATCGGCGGCCCAGCGCGTTCAAGTAGTCGCCTACTAAAAGCATGCCATAGGACTAAAGTTATGCTACGCCACACGCGTGCCAGAGCAGATAAGTCATACTGGCACATTTGTCAGTAGTCGCCACATTGTCTTCGTCTTTTCCGTGATGATTACTTGCAACGTCATTGCTGCAATCGCGCATAAGTTGGAATAACTTATAAGCCGATCTCCACACTTAACATGACGGAAAACTGTTCTAGGCAGGCACATTGTGGCGATTGTAAGTTCAAGCGGCAGCAGTAAAATTTTGTAGCGCAAAATGTTATCGGGTACGCAGTTAGTACGCACTAACCGGTAAGCATAAACCGAACACTAAGGCTTAAACGGTTCGCAAATGCATTAATCTCTATGATACTCAGTCAGGAATTCGTCGCAACTACGTTTTAACCATTAGTAAGCTTGAAGCGGGTACGCTACTAATGAGGTTTGACTGTATATCTTGCACCGTGGTTTAGGATTAGGGTCCACATGCCCAGATCCCTGGACTGAATGATTACGCTAACTACAGAAGGCCAACATGGCTTCCATTTCTCGCTGAAACTAGTGCAACTGAAAAAATTTTCAGGCTGGAGAGTGGGCCGCTGCCCTGTGCAGCCTCGGCCTCGGCGACCAACTCTGGGCTGTCCCGGCAGGCCCGTGAGGCGGTGGTCAGGCAAGGTCTTGACGTCCCCACGCGAGAGTTGAACCCCTGCACTGTTGAACCCCTGCACCATGCATCACCATGGTTTACCACATACATTTTCGATAGACCGCACAATCCTCTGACTCATCCCACTGAAAGGGCACTCGAGAAAGCAAAACAATGCCAATTTCATGCACAACACCGGCTGATTGGGAACCTGCATAAAGGACTTTATTACAGTGACGTAGTCGTTTGTATGCTCTCTGTCAACGGGCTATGCCTCCCGCCACCGGGTTACTTAAAAGTTAGAACAGATGGCCCTGGGGCCTTGAAATCGCCAATGCCAGAGGCAGTGCTCGAACACAAGCATCCTCACGTTCAATTTCTAGGTGTGAATATCGTAGTCAATGCTTATTCCCAGGAGGAGACGTGTGCGTCAAAGATACCAAAAATTAAACGGGGCTGTGTATAAAAAACGAGAAGTTGTTTGCAAATTTGGAGCGCTTAAACTTAACAACTCCTCACCCGCCTGTTCTCAAAATGTCCAATGAAAAATTCCTGGAGGTGTTGCTTGTTAGAAACAACTCTGCAATGCAAATAAGAGGCAGTAAAGAAAAAACTGGAATTAGCCAGAAGATGGCATCTGCATATGAATGAGGTGCTTAACTAGCCCCCCATTAATGCCTCCCTTTTCACATCATACAAGTGGCTCTGACAGTGAGTTAGGTAGTGTCATCAAATATTAAAACACCTCCCTACAATATCACAATCATAGCTGGATCCATCTCACCCACCCAATTACTTTATGGACGCAAAATCGTTTCCTCTTGCGACAATATAGTACTTGTACGACGTTAACGCTCTTATAACGGTTGTTAGCACACGCACTGATTTCTACCAAAGGCGGCAATGGCCGGCAAAGCGGGCCACCATCGTCTGCCCACTCACTTCCATTCCTCCCGATGATGAAGTTTGTCTGCTCGGAGAACTTGAAGTCCAACTTGCTATGGCACATGAAGTTCTTCAAGTGCACGGACTCTATTATGCCGACGGTACGATCCAGCTGGAAAAAAACAAGAGGCGCCACATTCAGTCAAGTTTGCATATATATGAGTGCTCTTTCAATTTAGTCATATTATACAATCTGATGATGTGATCGTAACAAAGCAAAACAATTTAAATTTATGACTGGAGCAGGTGGGGTAGCCCCGTTACCGACATGATGATGGGAGCGATGTTCTCAAATAGTCACTGTCATGCACATTTTTTTTTACTTTACATTAAATACACTCGAGTCTACAACCAACAGAGCATCAGCAATATGCAAGGTTGGTCTTGTTGGTCAGGTGTTGGTCTTGAAGGCCAGGATGCCTATTGTAGCATCTTGCAAGGCATCAAAGGTAAGAAGCTACCTTATTCTTTAAAAAAAAAAAAAACAATGGTTGTTACACTATGCGGCCACAGCACAACTGTTGTCAGCACTTTTACTGCCATACTAGAGTTCAAGGCCACGTTTAGAGAAGTGCAGATATTACTCCCACCTCGTATTAAGTCAACAAACCTTTTATTTATGGCACTAAAGCTAGTTTTCATACAAAGCAGCTCGTGCAACCATTGATGGCAGTCATTTTCAGCAATAGTTCCAACAAGCACACACTGCTCATATTACAACACGAAGCATGCAGTTGCGGCTTCCGCAGTGCAAACATACGCCGGAGAAAAACATTAGTGAAGGCACTTCGTACTTCATTTAACGACCACCAACAACTGTGACTCGTTAGCCAAATGTTCTTGCCCTATTTGCCCTTTATCTCATTAATGACCACTTTGAGATCATTGCTATAGATTCAGATATTTGATGCCTTCAATTATTAGAAGCATATTGTTCTTATACACAGTAATATTATCAGCATTGATGATGCCATGATTTACATGACATATACCTTTTATTAACACATAGGACAAAATAGTCAGACTGATAAAAAAAGTATTCATTAAGTCGTATCACTGTAACCAATATCTCTTATAACATACATAGGTCATCTTGTAATAAAGCCAAAGACAGTCCTAGTTTCAATTTATTATACACAGAGGGTCATTACAACTGTGATTATTTTATTGATATTGTATGGTCATCAATATCAGACAGTGCCAGAAAGGAATGACACGTAAACTGCTTGCGAATCGAAACACAACATCAAAACCTTTAGTTTAACAACTGATATGCGCAATCGCGCAAGATAACCGCACTATATCTAATTTTGTAATGTAATTTTGGCTCTGATGTACAAGACGAAATTGCACCAGTGCGACACGCACTAGAGTGTGTAAACGAGAGTCCGTGAAAGTCTGCGGAAACAAAGTCTGCAAAAGTATGTACTTTACTTAGCACTAAATTATCACTTGAAACAATCCATAAGCACTGCACGTGAAGCACTGTACCGGTCATGCTTCACATGCACAGTGGACTAAATAAATGACACATTCTGCAAATACGTACAAAGAGTACGTAAAGTGAGTTATGCTTGAACAGCCAGTTTCGAGAAGCTTGCCTGACCCCAAAGAAAGCTTCTCCATCCAAGAATGAAGACTACAAGTGCACTATGCCTGTGTTCATATTAAGCACAGTTACGACGAATGAACCAGCCCCACGCGCATACCGTAGATCATGTGTGATACGTGCAATACGAACAAGCTAGAACATCTCACCTGTGCCACAGTCTGCGACGGGCTCAGCAATGAATCCGCGACACCATTTCTGAGCCTCTTGGTATTGGATGAGACCGTCTCTTCATCCGGGTCGTGATCAACAGCCCTGTTCGATCGTTTTGACATTTTCAAGACGTCTGGCACCTGCGAACATGAAAATTAATCAAGAAATAGGGAATTTTGTATGTCAACTAGAGCAGGCTGGCGTGGATACGTCCTGCAAGGCGGGTGCATATTACGTGGCCAGGAGATCAGCAAGTGTCTAGCGCAAGAGTTGCCCCCCCCCCCCCCCCCCCGAATGAAAAACCTCATTTTCGTTGTACGAGGAACTTTAGCCTCATGAAGCACACACACCTGTTAACCCAGGGGTTTCAAACACCGCACATGTCTACCTTTATCCCATGCTTTTTAAATTTTCTTAAGCATGTGTTTGTGAGCTATGCAAGGCACGATTGGTCTAAAACATTGTTTTCATAAGGCACCCTGTGTGGTTACGATGTAATATGACAAACACTAAACAGAAACTATATTTCAGAATCGGCATCCATATTCAAGTCATCTTGGACATCGGTATCGACATGTTGGAATCCTGGTCCCAAATATCCTTTAAAATTTCAAGGACTTTAAAGGTACCCTCGTAAGATACCGGAAAGCCCTTGTTTACACGCAGCTTCAGGCTGTTCCTGCTTGTAACGCTTTTTTTCACCATGACTTTTCTTTTGCACTTTTTTTTCAACATGACTAGCAGTTTGATGGAGCTCTTTGGCCAGCGTTGACAACACACCGTGTGCATGACATGAAGCATATGATCAAAACACCCAATACACAGGAGAAATGTCGCCGCAAACTTCGTGCCATCGCCCAGGCATAAGTGAACAATTGCCTGCGACACAGATGCTGCTCAGTGAGACTGGCATAACCTTTAGCCAAACTTGGAGGCCACATTTACAAAACCAGCCGTTTTCTCGGTTTTCACATGAACTAGTTGAGCAATTACTCTAAAATTAACCAACTTTAGGTGTTCGAAGCACAGAGCAGTAAAGTCAAATAAGCATCGTCGTGTTTTTAGATCGCACAGACTTCACGGACCTCAGCGTCCATGAGTCCCTTTAGTTTCAAGGCGACTGCTTGTGCTGTCCCATCTTACACACTCTTACAAAATCTTTTGCGATTAAAAACACAGGGCACTTAGTAAAATCATGGACACACTGGTCAGAAGCTGATTGATAGTTCGGCATCTAGCATTAAAGAAGACTAGTTAACACAGAAAAAGTTTATATAAGTAACCGCTTGGCTCCAAGCAAATGTTGGTTTCTAAAGGCTACTTGAACATCCGATTCATTCAACATTAGCCTCACGGTAAGTTCCAAGTTTTGATTTACACGCCCACGTGTGTACTGCAGTTTAGACCTTTTCAGCATGTCTGGGTTGCTGAAACCAGTCACAAGGAGAGTTCGAATCAGAACTTCCAAGCACAGAGTGCCTTTACAAAAATACAATAGCTAATACTGCCATGTTGGACCCACAATGCTCCCAAGGAGTGCACAGTACGTCCAACATGTCATCAAGCGAACCAGAATTAACATGGAAAGTGGAGAGTACTGTGGAGTGTTTTGTATCTGGCAATAATGAAAAAAACAATAAGCCGCGACGACGAAATAACGTTGACTCATGCGTCGACGATCGGCTGCACAGACACGTACGAACCTGGGCACGACGCATTCAAGTTTGGCGCCATTGCGAGCTGCAGGCGAACAGCTGGAAAATCGCGACACGCGCATCAAGCACAAATGCGTGAATGATACCACGTATATTTAGGCTAAAGCCTTTATATGTCTCATGCTCACATGCGTGCGTTCCCTGGTACTGCAAGGCGGTCTAGCCGGGGCGCGCTCGCGTTTCTTTTCGCGTAGCATCGCTGCGCTCAAGCGAGGCGCGCGGACCGCGTTTTAGTGTGACCAACCCCGTCTAAACAAGCACTATGGAGTGTCCTTCAATTTTTCCTCACACGCGCTGCTAAAGCAACACGGTATCGATGTCAAACACCATCACCAACCATTGCCGCCTTTTTACATCAGCTGACCCAGTACGGTTGCTCGACGCATGCCATGCTCCTTACACGAGTCGTGCGGTAACTTCAAACTTTGCGGCATGCAAACAGCAGGAAACTCGGCGAACGAACGTTAATGACGATGAATAAAGCTGAAGAACGGCCCGGGTGTCAAATGACAGCTGTATCACAGCCTCCGCACTACCATGCGAGCCCCTGTATCAATTATTGCACTCTTCAAGCAATAAAGTATTGCTTAGTAATAAGCTATCTTCAAAATCAGGCATTGGAGACAGCTTAAGAACAAAGGTATTGTCGATTCCATGGCATCGCAAAACTCCAACTCTCGTTTTCACAAAGACCCATTCATTGCTGCAGGTAAATCCGTCCCACTAGGTCAACGTTCACCTGTCCAAGCGCAGCTTTGAAACAAAGGCTGTGCTGTCTGGTAGATGCGACAAAAAAAAATGTAGTAAAATGCGCATACTTACCGAACAGATGGGAAGAAGGAGTTGCCGAAACCAGCCGAGAGCTCACCAAACCTCACGTTTTAGCGCTGTTTACAAGCAGTCTTTCTCGCGCGCATTGCTCGCAACAGGAACCTGCGCTCGGTCTGGCCTGGATTGAACCGGATACAACCTGTCGGGACGTGTTGAAAATGTTACGAGAAAACGCTACCTCATGTTTCGTGCAATAAAAGTTTAATTTAGGTTAGTAAATATGTTTGTAAGTTTTTAAAATGTTTTTAATTACTATTTTCTTTTTCATTACGAAAGTAAACAAAGTGGTTGTTTTTATGAGTGACTTTTTGGAGCGCGATTTTTAAATGTGGCCATTTTGAAACGCCTGAAAAAGTTTCAACGCTGCACCGCCCGGTGAATGTTGCTCAATTCAGGTGCCTGATTAAAGAAACACATATAAAATGGCAGAATGGCATTCTACGAGGCCTAGAGTTTTCAAACTCTACACAAAGAGTCGCGCGAAAATCTTCGATCAGAGCTTTATACATCCGTGTCGGGGCTGAAAACGTGTTCGTTGTGATGACCGGGGGCGGGGGGGGGGGGGGGGAGGTTTGACTTTTGCCATAGAACTTTTAGCCCCCACCCCACCTACTTGATCCAACGGGGGTGTAGTCAAAACACAACGCAAAAGATTTCCCTGCCTTCACGCCCGAGGTAACGGCCGCCGCAGCTGCACGTCTCTTTAATCCCCAATATGGCGGCCCTTCAATAATGGAGCAGTCACGACAACGTGAAAAGTAGCTGGTCATGGCGCTTTCTATAAGCGTGACATACTTATTAATCAAGTGCGCGAGTTTCGTGTTGTCTGATAATTGTTCTTCCGTACGATAAAGTTATGTGTTGACAATTTTGTCACGCAGGAACGTCCTCGAGTTACTGCACATGTCCTGCCTAACCTTTCTCTCTCACCTGTTTTCCTCTCATTTGTCCGAGCGTAGTAAGTAGAACTCGATAAAGGCGTGAGCCCACAGCCTCTCTTCGAAGTAATACATTCCTTGGGCACGCAAGAAATTAACCGCTGCACACGTGTGCACAATAGTTCAGGCGTGTCAGCACAACAGAATGGTGTGCAGGCTACATAATAGACGCTGCACTTTGGAACCATCATTTGCTGTGTGCTAAATTGTCCAACGTGCAGCTTGTCCAAAGCACGTCGACGACCACGTAATATATTAGGCCTTGAATGCTCATAACACGGAACGATTGTCCTGTCCATGGATAGATATGCGGGTCACAGAGGTTAACACACTATGCATGACGGTAAACGTAAGCTAAAACACACCAACAACTTTGTTAATTTCTTGTTCTATATTTTATAACCCTTTGAATAGTTTATCAGGCTTCTCCGGCTGAGAATAAAGGCTCTGGCTTCTACCAGCACCGCGTTTTGGTGGAGGCCAGAATTGTTTAGTCGTTCAGGTGAGCTATCTGTAACGCGGGTCTGACCCGAACCAGCACGGGAAACATGCAAACCTTAGTAGTCACATCGATGCTGCTGCTCTGTGCACTTTCTGGCCAGAATGAAGCGACTCTGCTGCCAATCTTGAGTGCGATAAAAGGCAAGCTTCTGAGTGGGCATCGAGGTACGTAGGTCTGATCATATGATAACAGTGCGACTATACGTCTAAGTGTATAATCTCGGCTGTGACAAGTTCAATGAGAACATACTTGAACAAGAAGCGAACGAAAACAATGGGACAAGAATGAACAAGGAAGCATGCGTGTGATCTTGTCGTTGATGATGATGCTCCTTGGACTATTGGCACTACCCGCTCTGGGGCATCTGAAGAGCCGGGCCGATCGTATAGTCTGAAAATTTTTAAGTGCTAATAGAGGATACGGATACAATTTTAATGAAGCATTAAATGTAAATACTGGTTTTAACTTACACCTAATTAAGTAACCTCCAAATGATGGAACATCATTTTACCGGAATGACGTAATGTAGAATTATTAGCGGTTGATGCAACTAATGAATCTGTTTGATACCCATATGAACTTTATTACAGCATTGCACACATTCCTCTCCAAACATCCCAGACAGGCGCCAAAAGATGACAGCAACTTGTGTTCGTTCTCGTGCCGTTCATCGTTTTCGTTCGCTTCTTGTTCAGGCACTTGGGCGGGCGCATGTTGAGGTAGGGTGCAGGGCGCTTCTACGTGTGACGTAAGGAATTGCATGACGTTGCTGGAACCTGCCTGATTACACATAATGCCCGCCAGATGGCACTACCTGCCCACGCCATCTGCGGCAATCTGCTAAAACGCTTACGCTGTTATGGTGAATATATGGCGAATCGTATGTGGCTCACAGCGCATCACCACCTAGCACCTATCGCACGCCCACCGACATGGAAAACGAAATCGCCCGCTCAACCAAGGAAGCGCTGGCCAAACCCACACAATCCATAGCAGACGCAGCAGTGGCACATCAGTTCGTCGATCACTTCCGCCAGGCAAAACTCAACGTAATATAGAAGTGTGGCAGCTTGGGCTAGTTGGTATGACACGGCGATAGTTATAGCGCGAGAACAGAACGACGACAAAGAGACAAGTAGGACACGAGCGCTCGTGTCCTTCTTGTTTTTTTTTTTTTTTTTTTGTCGTCGTTAGATCTGTTCTCGCGCTATAACTATGGTGGCACCATACTATAACCAACGTTTTTAGAACAATTGTTCTAAAACTCTATTGTTCTAAAAACGTTGACTATAACTACAGTGTACTAGAATAGAGGCAGTGTGCTCACTGCCCTATTCTTGCGGCGCTCCGCCGTAGCGCACTCTGTGTCGACTTCCACGATGCCCACCAGGGGCGCTGACGCTTGACGCACCTGAAAACGCGCTGACAGCGCGTTTTCAGGTGCGTCAAGCGTTTTCAGGGCGCTGTTTTCAGGGCGCTGACGTTCAGGGCGCTGAAGTTTTCAGGGCGCTGACAGCCCGAACGCTTCCGCGTTCGGGCTGTCAAGGTGGATGGACGTGTTTTTTGAGCGCTCCGGATCGACTGCGCAGATAAGTGTTTTTGCATGTTTTGAGCTTGTCTTTATAATTATAAGGCAGCGGTTGAAATCTTCGTAACAATTATTTTATGGTACGGCTTTTTCGGGGGCCAGTCACCAGGTATTTATAAGTAAGTGCGGGTGTGTGGGTTTGAAATTTTGTTGTTGTTTTTTTTTCTTTTGCCACCCCGTGGGGGAGGTGCGCGTACATTGAACACGCAAATTTTTGTAAGAGCTTAGATTTTTTTTCTCGTAGCACAGGGCTCGAGTTTAGTAATTATTGAGTATAGGGACAATTGGTGTCAGAAAGGCATGGTTAAAAAGACTGTAAAGTGTTCAGGATGTGGAGTGGGTTTGAAAGTGGACCCAAGCGTAGAAGCGGATGGGGAAGAGGCTGACGCGAAGTGTAGGCAATGTGAGGTCGAGGAAAAAATGGAGAAAATGATGGTTGCCCAGAGTGAACTGCTGATGAGAATCGCCAAGCTCGAGACTGAGTTGGCGACAGAGCAAGAGAAAACGAGGGCAATGGGAGAAAGACTGAAGTCCGCCGAGGAAGCGCTAGCGAAGCTGAACAAAGAAGCGACCTACCGAGAGAACAGTAGGGAACCGGCAACCAGAACGGTGGAGAAGGAAAAGCAAGCAAGTTTGGAAAAAACAGGTTTAGCCGGTTCAACTGTCGCAAGGCCCAGCTTCAGCGAGGTAGTGGTGGGGCAGGGAGGGAACAAAGCAGACGGCGTCAGAGGTGCAAGTAGCCCCCAGGTGCAGAACGCTCCAGCTGAAAAGTCGCAGCATGTGATAATCGCCGGGGACTCAAATTTAAATCGATGCACAGAAGCCATCAAAGAGAGGGTAAGAGGTGACTAGAGGGTGGCAGTAGGGGCGTTCCCAGGACGCAAGCTGGAAGCAGTCATGAGGCAAGCGAGCGCAAAGCTCAAAACGACAGCTGATAAACGAAACCTAGTGATAATTTCAGGCGGTTTAAACGATGTCCTAAATGGAGATGCAGCAGGACTAGCAGCCACACTGGCGAAAGGCGTCGATGACATGCGCGCCACTTCTCCTAAGCTACAGGTAGTGATATGCACGATACCGGAGGTACCGGTGCGTGATAGCAACCTGCAAAGAGCGGTGGTCAACGCAAACCAAGAGATTGATTGATATGTGGGGTTTAACGTCCCAAAACCACTATATGATTATGAGAGACGCAAACCAAGAGATATGGCGGATGAGTCGAGAGAAAGGCTTTGAGGTGGTGGAAATAAACAGAGAGGTGCATAGGTGGGGGGGGGGGGGGGGTTTCAACGAGACAGAATTCACTTCGATGGGCGGCTAGGTCATGAGGTGGGTTGGCGACTTGCAGGACGCGCAGTAGCTTTTTTGGGGGGCAAGCGAGCCCTTCGGGGTGCAGGATAGCTAGTAACGAGGAAAACAACCAGGGAGACTCTTCGACAGGTGGTATGGACAGAGACGATTCCAAAGTGGCACCAATATCTAAGATAGGTAGAGTCCGGGGCATAAATAGACGTAGCCACGAGCGCCGAGCCAATTCAGACATAGGGTATATTAACATGCAGGGTGGTAGGAACAGGCTGAAGTGGGAAGAGATAGAAGAACAGCTAAGGGAAGAGAGGCCGATGGTATATGGTTTTGTAGAAACACATCTCAGGGACATGGAACAACCTCCGAACAATCCGGACTACGCGTGGGAATATTGTAATAGAACAGAAGGCAGCAGAAAGGGGGGTGGTATTGGGGCATTCATCCATAAATTACAGACTGGCGAAGGGTCAAGCAGGAGTGCAAGGAACATTTATGGCTAAAAGGGAAAGTGGCAGGTCAAATGACACTCCTTGGTCTCGTGTACTTGTGGACGGGAGCAAAGGCCAGAGAGGAAAACCAGACAATCGTAGAGTGTATATCAAAGGACATTCAGGAGTTAGGAAGAGAGTGCGAGATAATTATACTAGGAGACATGAATGCGCACATAGAAGATATAGATGGGTATACCGACCCGACAGGCAAAATGATCATGGATATGTGTGAAAGGCTTGATTTGATCATTTGCAACAGTGCCGAGAAGTGTGAAG